GCTCGGAGAAGGTTTACCAGACTAATAGCTGGACTGGAGCTGAGGAAAGATTGGACAGGCTAGACTTGTGTCCACTGGAATTTGGAAGAATGAGAGGCAAATTAATTGAAACATATAGAATCCTGAAGAGTCTTGACAGCGTGAATGTGGAATAGAGATGAAATTAATTATTTTCTTTCGGAGGGTTGTGAGCCTTTGGAACTCTTTTCCTGAAGAGGGGGTGGAAACAGAGATATTGAATTTCTTTTAAGGGAGAAGTGGATAGATACTTGTTAAGCGAGGGGGTGAAAGGTTATCATAGTCATAGAGATCCACAGCACAGAAAAAAGTCCTTTGATGTATGGTGTCTGTGCCAGTTGAAAAGAACCACCCAACTATCCTAATTCCATTTTCCAGTACTTGACCCATCGTCTTATATGTGTTGGCATTGCAATAGTGCATCTAAATATCAAGGGTAGGAAGGAATGTGGATTTGAAGTTACAATTAGAACAGTCATGACCTTATTGAGTAGTAGAGCAGACTCTAGGGGCTGAATGGCCCACTGTTGCTTCTTGTTTCTATGTCCCTTGTTCCCCATGACTGTTGCTTTGAGCCAATAAATTATTCCCACCAGTGATTTTTGATATTCCTGATCTCCTCCTATGCCGATTCCACATCCTGATATTTTTTTAGCCAAGACCGTTTCTTACCAATGTCCTTATGTTATCCTTTCCTATTATGGCTACCCCTCTTCTTGTATTCATGTCAGTCTTTACCCTTGATTACCTTGTAGCCATTTCTCTGTAACAGCGATTGGATCAAAACCATTTACCTGTATTTTGAATCATAGAAATTTACTGTACAGGAGGAGGCCATTCAACCCATCATGTCTGTACTGGGTTTTGAAAGAGCTACACAGCTAGACCTACTTTGCAGCCCTATCTCCGTAGCCTTCTGACTTCATCCTTTTCAAATGTTTGTCCAGCTCTCTTTTGAAACCTCCTATGGAATCCACTTCCGCCACTCTCCCAAGCAGCACATTCCAAAGCCTAGCAACTCTGAGTAAAGAAGTTTCTCCTCATCTCATTCCTAGGTCTCTCGCTGACAGCCTTGAAATTGTGACCCTTAATTACTGACATATCAACTCGAAGAATCAGAATATCCTTCTTTACCCCGTCAAAATTGTTCATAATTTTGAACACTTCAATAAGGTCACCTCTTAGTCTTTGCTGCAAGGAGAATAAGCCCAATTTCTCTAATGTTTCATTGTATCTAAATTCCCTTATTCTTGATATTATCATTCTGTTACAGCGGGAGTAGAAGTTCCCTTCTAATAATTAAACCCGAAACACCAAGAGAAGCTCGCCTCACCTTGCCTAATCTGTTTAACTGTTATGGAGAAGGGGAGGTTAAATGAAAGAAAATCCCTGATCTTCATTTTATAAGTAACAAGTAATAATTTATTTATTTAACCCTGACGGTGAACAAATTAACAGAACTACTAACAAACAGAATAATTCTCCCTTAACTATTAACTATTCCCTAACTGAACTAAATTCTACAGGTATGCTGTTCCAATAAACAATAGTCCCACTTATATAAACCGAAGTAATAAGAAAATAAATTAAAACTTAGTCTCTCAAAGTTTATACGCCTTTCTTCTGCTGATCCAGCTGTCAGGGATGTTTTCTCTGTGAAGTCTTCTTTGAGGACTCTTAGCTAGAAGTGCTGTGGTACCTTTTAGGGATAAATGGTGTTTTCTTAGAGAGCTTAGCAATTTCTTGTGAGAGCTAAATGCTTTTTTCTCAGATGGCGGTTTGCTTTCACACCGATTTCAAAAGCCCTATCCATGTATATTTTGGATGACATATCAATTTTCTTACAAGAGCACTGGTCCAAGGTTGTCAAAACCATCAAATTTAAATTCAATTGACTTTCACTCACTAAGTGATTGTTTTAAATTAATTGGCTGATTCTAGCTAGTGGCCAAAACATCGAAACAAGCCTAAGGTTACCAATCGTATAGCCAATTGATATATGTTTCAATTTCAGAACTGTCTGTACGCCTTCAGCTGCTTAGACACATTTTCTGTATAAATCGCTAAGCTTAGAAAAGTACTTTACCTCTTTAAAGGAGTCACGCACTCTTCTCCCTTATTTTTTTACAAGCAATTTCTCGCTTCCTGTCTTCCAATTCACAATTACTCTACACAACTTCTTAACAATAAGATGTCCATTTGCACCATTAGTTCATCTACCTTATTGTGAGTGCATCACAATGTCAGTTGAAGAGTCTTTAGTTTTATATTTTAATTACTGTTTGCATGGACTTCATTCACCGATGTCTTATTACTGTTAGTGTTTTGCCCTGTGACATCCTTTTTGTTAACCCAAATAGTTTCACTGCTCTGTTGCCTCAACATTTCTCTTTAGATTTCTAAATTTCCCTTAACCCGCTCTCTTTTTGTTTGGAACCTGCAGCATACATAAATGTACTGGTAATAAAAATCTAGATGAGGGAGACAGCTGTATAGTTACACAATGCTAATGTTACTGGATTAGCAATTGAGGTGCCTAGGCGAAGACTCTGGGGCATGGATTCAAATCTAACTACAAAAGCTAGTGACTTAAATTCAATTAATAAAATCTGGAGAGCTAGTCTTAATTGCGATGATCGCAAAAATATTATCAATTCTTGTAAAAAGTCATCTGGTTCACCAGTGTCCTTTAGAGAAGAAAGTCTACTACCATCATCAGGTCTGGCCTATGTGTGGCTTCAAACCACAGCTACATGCTTGATTCTAAAGTGCCTTTGGAAATGGCCAAGCAAGCCAGTCAGTTCAGGAGCATTTCAGGATGTGCAAAAATGTCCTGGCCTTTCCAGTGACACACACATCCCATCAAATAATTTTTAAAAAACTTTGTGCTATAACTCGTGTATCATTGTATTTCACGGACAATCAAATGCCCTTCAGGTTCGGAAGCTTTTTACTTGGGGAAACATAAGAATTAGAAACTGGAGTAGGCCATTCAGCCTCTTGAGCCTATTCCATTAATTGATAAGAATGTGGCTGATCTGATTGTGGTCTCAACTGCATTTTGCTGTTTGCTTCTGTTACCCTTAAACTCCCTTTTTGATCAAATTTTGTCTAACTCAGCCTTGAATATATTCAGTCACCCAATTCTACTGCTGTCTGGAGTAGAGGATTGCAAAGACTCGCAACAACCCTCTGAGGGATTAAATTCCTCCTCATCTCCATCTTTGATGGTAACCCCCTAATTCTGAAACAGTGCCCCTTGTTCTACATCCTGTGACAAAGAGAAACATCCTGTTAGCATCTACCCTGCCAAGACCGACAGAATCTTGTATGTCTCAGTAAAATCACCTCTTGTTTTTCCAAACTGCAATCAGCATAGATCTACCTACCAGCCCACCTTCTTCAGCATAAGATATCCCCTTCATCCCAGGAATCAGCCTAGTGAACCTTTCTCTTAACTGTACCCAATTCAAGTTTACCCTCCTTAAACAGGGACTGTACACGGTAATTAGATGTGGTCTCACCAATGCTTTGTACCATTGTAGTATGACTTCCCTACTTTTATACATCATCTTTTAGCAATAAAGGTTAGCAGTTTT